TTCATCTCCCTTTTTGACAGAGAAGACTTCGTAAAAAAATGATATTCAGGACCCAATGTGTTATCAGTTTTTGGAGGGGAAAAAAATTTTTCAACCGGAGGTGGCTGGCTACTCCCCTCGGCTGGTGGAGATTCACTGTCCATTTGGCTTGGTGGTTCAGAAAACAGAATAGGAAAAAAATCCACCTCCTCGTCCGGTGGATCAGTATCCGCAATTGCCTAAAAAAAGTTTGTAGCTACCGGAATCTCTTCCCTCAACGGCACCAAAGGCTCAGCCTCCTGCGGGGTATCAATAATTGAGCACGGTATATTCTCAAAGGGATGCTGGTTGACTTTTGAGGATTTAGCTCTCCTGTTTCTAAAAAAAAATGCCGGCCTTTTAGTCTCATCCTGGGACKCCATTTCTGTGAAAAAAACCCCCTGATCAAGATCGGTCCTCTTCTCCTTGGCCATGGGCTCTTGCTGAGAGACAAAAGCAGGCCCAGCACTAGCAGGGTTTGCAGAAAAAAAACCAGCTGGCAAAGGATCACCAATCCCATCCCTGTTTACAATGGCAGCGCTTGGCAGAGCAGGAAAGTCCTCCTCCGAAACTGGGGCAGCCTGGGCAACTCTCGGGACCGCCACGACCCACGCAATTCTGCAATAAAAAAATATATGCCCCGGCTCCCCGCACCTGATACACAAATTGTCTAAAAAAAAGCGGCAGTCCGCTACTAGATGGTCAAACTGATTGCAGTGCCTGCAACACAACCGTTGTCCTCTGTAACGTATGAAAGCCGGGTAYTAAAAAAATTTCAGCAGTGATGGAATGTCCGAGGAAATTTTCATAAGGAAAAAAAGGTCCCCGGACCACACACCCTCTTCCAAAGGGCGCGATATAAAAAAAACCCTTCCGTAAACCGACAGACACTCACTCAAAACATGATTAGGCACCTCCGCTGGGAGGTTCTTAACAAAGACTTTAGTAAATTTTAAAAAAAACTCCACAAACTCAAAATGAATACCCTTGTAGTACACGCCCTGCATCAAAAGTTCATCTCTGTGGGCCTCAGCGCCCTCCTTGAAAGAAAAAAAAAAGGAGGTATCAGACAGCTTTTGAAAACAGTGTAGATGGAAAAAAAAGGCACCAATTCTAAAATTTCAGTAAGGATCTCCCCCCTCGTGGGAAGAATCCCCTCCTCTCTATAGCTCCTTGGAAAGGCTTCGRAAAAAAAAAACTAGAGAGCTCAAAAAACAACTTTGCTCAAAAAMTTTWAAAAAAAATTAGCAGGACTTCCTGCTTAACTACTGTACACAACACAAAAAAAAAGACTTTAGCAGGACTTCCTACTTAACAACTKTAACAACTTAAAAAAAAACTCAAATAATAACTATCAAAGGTTAACAGTGCCACAAAAAATTAAAGAAAAGAAAAAACAACCAGCAGCAAAAMCTTTATTAAGTAAAAAAATGCAAAAATGGCAAAAATGAAAAAAGAAAACAAAATGAACAAAAAAAAATGAAAATAGAAAAGCGAAAAAGGAGAAACAAAACAGGTAAACTAAACGTGAAACCCAAAAAGGAAAAAGAGAAAATGAAAAAATGAGAACAACAAAAAACAAAAAGAGACACAAGTCAAGCCCGGAGACAAAAAAAAAAGGCTTGATGGGCAGAGCCCAAAAAAGGAAAAACCAGAAAGAAAAAAAAAAAATAGAAACTGGAGTGAAAAAATATCCTGACTATAAAAAAAAAACCCAAAAAAGAAAAAACTGAAATCAAAAAAAATTCACACTAAAAAAACCCGGGCGAAACGTTTCCCGGCTGGATGGGCAGGAAGCCCAAAAAAAGAAAGCAAAAAAACCCGAAGGCGGAAGGCTGAATCGCCAACGGCCAACTGGCACTGTTTAAAAATGGACGGATACAAACACAAATAGAAAAAAAACGCAAATAAGGATATGAACAGTCTTCCCACACGTCAGACAAAAAAATTCTCAGCAGGCTCAGATGGCACAGGAATACCACGACCAGAAAAAA